CCCGACATTTTTATGACATCAAGAGAAGAGCTCATTAAACAAAATAAATGAGATTGCAAACATATATGCATATATATCACATAACATATCACAATAAGAAAATCGTATCCCGTATCATTTACGCAAATACTTTATAATCAAAGTAAGATGGTCATAAAAAATTTGTAATTTTGGTAGTGATGTGGCCTAATCTTGTCCCTACATCTACATTGGAGTTGGTGAAGGGTGGTTGAGGCTCTATTTTCAAGGTTTGATGTAGGGGCAAGATTATGCCACATCACTACCAAGTTGCTTTAAGCAACTTGGTACCAAGATTCTCCATATTTCTCATATATATATAACGTCCTCACTCAATCTAGGAATTCCTAGAAGACTCTATACATGATTCCTAAGAAACTCTATCCTATCTCCACGACTCGACACATGAATGATCCAAAGGATGTTGGAACTATAGCTCTGATACCAACCTGTGACGCCCATGTTTTCACACATAGCTACAGTCCAAAGTGAACCCAGAGATGTCAAACCTGCCATGCACTTACATCGTACAATAACATGTTTCACCAATCACAGTAATATCCTCTAGTGGAATCAAATATAAGTGTAGGTATAAAACAAGCAAAATAAGGAAATAAAAATAATATACATGATATAGAAATATATATCTCATAAATGAAAATCATGTCTCAACCGAAATATATCTGATATCTAGAATAATGAAAGTGTCTCAACATGAATCAACTAAAAATCGTACTAAGACACACTGCCTTTCAATATGAAAACAAAACTCTAATATCTGCATGAGAACATAAAATTATAGTAGAGTCTCAACTACTAAAATGTGCGACAGCGACTATGTTAGAACTCTGTCATCCTGCGGCTCTCTGGAACTCTGAGCTGCCTGAAAAGGAAATTTAAAACAACAAAAAGAATAATAACAAGAGTTTTATAGCTCTATAGCAAGATCACCTCCATCCGCCCCCAGGGAAGGGCTGCTAGATGATGTGGATGCTCTATCTATTAAGCATAGTCTACCTAGATCATTTTCCCGTATCTAATAGAATAAATATTTAGACATTTACAATGCGAGACGTAGTACGTCGAGCAAAATATTCCAAACAAAGAAACCCTCATGTATATATTATATATCTCAAATTGTAGATAGCTAAATATTAATCCCGAACTAAGAATGAAAGAAAATATAACTGGAAAGATAAAGCATCAAAATAACCATCAATATATGTATCTCGTGTACTTGCACAACAAGGTATCTCAGTCATCAAATATCTCAACAATGAGTCGAATTCACTTTTGGCATCGACCAAACTCAGGCTATCACATAATTGTCATATTGCAACTCTTCGCAAAATTTCTAATTCATCGCTTTATCATGCGTAACGGACTACCCTGTAGGTATCCAAATAGTATACACAGTTCATTAGTTTCATCATGATCTCAGTGTGTAACATGAGTGTGGGACGACCTACCATATAGGTATCCTAAGAGAGGGCTCACAAGCCTCATCGCACCCCCGTACGGACGGACTGCTAGACAAAGCATCCAAACCCGACTCAATGACCTGTACAAATAGAATATCGACGCACCACCACACGTAGTACTGAATTGAACTCATCAACGATATCCATCTCGTGTATAAATTGTGTATGTCTGGTATATCGACGCACTATCTCATATAGTACTGAGCTGTGCTCATCAATGATATCCAACATGTGTATAAACGATCTCTAACTCAAGTGTAATCAGCTCAACACTTGCAAAATCCCCTTTGAGATACTCATGTGTGTACTACAACACTATTCATGTATATTCATGTCTATATGTGTACTATTGTGTGACTCGAACCCCGCGATCGCATCTCAAAATAGTGCAACACAATGTTCAAGAAAAGTCTTAGTAGTAGACTATTAAGCTTAGTAGTCGAGTACACTGAGTCCATCCAGACTCTGTGAGGCATGTATTAGGATTAGTAGTCGACTACTAAGCACGTTAGTCGACTACTCTGTAATATTTTAGTTTCTGGAAATTCAAACTGAACATGAGTAACCGACTACTAAACTTAGTAGTCGACTACTCTGTCAAAACATGCATTCTTTCATACACGAACAGAGCTTATCATTCATCATATACTTATCATGAGATTTAGTACTAATGAAACATGTAATATTCAACAGAAATCATCCTGAACATGAAACAAATCTATTAACTTATTCTAATTAGGTATTAACATCCTAATTAATTAATTTCCTCAATTAGCTCTTAATTAAACAATGTAATTATCAACACTTGATGAAAACTACTCATGAATAGAGGTGAAACTTCATTTAGACATGTTTATATGACTTAGATATCACAAACCTAGGGGTTTAGCTTGATTAGCTTACAAGAAAACTCAATTAAACAATTAATTCGGGTTTACTTATGAGTTAAACATAATTAAAAAGTTAAAAATAAAATTAACATTTAAAAATAAAATTAACATCAACCCTAATGATCATGATCATGTTTCTATCATCAATGGCAAAGTTTTAACTTCAGCTCTAGCATATGGTTAAGATTTATCATCAAAAATCAGATTTTTATCACATTAGGTTACACTTAACCATGAAAACATCAATTAAACATCTTCAAAACTTTAACTAATTGTAGGGATAGGTTTGGATGAAGATGATCTTGCCTCAAACGCTGTGTTGAACTCCTGAACACGCGTGCAAGATCCCTTCTTCATCAGAAACCGCAAAGCCTCACATTTCTCTCGACAAACGCCTCGACATCTCTCTCAAAACTCACACTTTAGGGTTAGAGTTTGAGGAGGAAGATGGCTGATGTTAATCTCACGTGAAAGAGGGTAAAAAGAGCTTTAAAACGAGTATATGTACTCATTTATACAACTGGGTTCAAAACAAAACGAATCCGACCCGAAACTTATAAGAAAACTGGAAACAGTCAAACTAGTCGACTAATACCCTTACTAGTCGACTAATGGCCTTAGTAGTCGACTACTAAACTTAGTAGTAGACTACTAAGAGCACGGATTCAGCTTATGCATGTTTCGTGCATGATTCTCTTCTATACTCATATATACATTGATTTGATCTCAAATCAAATCCTAGCATACCAAACATCAAAATATGTTATTTATAACCATATAACATATTTATTATTATTTCTCACCATATATTCAAATTTACGGGGTTTTACAACAGCTAACAATGGAATCTTGATAATAATATAATATATTAGTACATTTATGCTCTAACATTAGATATAGATAGGAGAGAATATTGAAAGGTCAAATCTCTAAAAGCATGCTACATGAGCTTTGTTTTAGTATATAGATAGATAGATAGATATAGATATAAATAGATGCAGCATTGAAGCCTATATATTTGAAAAAAGTTTAAAATTTTAGCTAAACTGCTAAATGTCATTCTTCTTCTTAAAGCATATCCAGTCAAGATTGATGCATAAATAGAGTACGCTACGGAATAATACTTTTAAAAAGAAAGAATGTGTGTATATTAGCATTTGAGACGTAATAATAGTAGTTATAATTGTTATTTAAATTTGAATGGGTTCATGTCGAGGCAAAGAGCTTTTCTGATCATATCACAACTAAACGAATAAATTAAGTTTTACTGTTCATTTTGGGAAAAGATAATTTTGTTAATTATGAAATTATGAAACATAAAAGAAGGTACTACTAATAAATGAGCTAGAAGTTAAGGATATATATCCTTCATGATAAAATAACATAATTATATGTAAAAGTCCTTAGCATTAATTGGATTTTTATGGAAAAAGTGAAAGCCAAATGGCCAAAAACTCTAGAAAGTTGCCAAACGGCATAAGTTCTATGAAGTTGCCAAGTGGCAATTAAGGATTTTACTTTAGTATATAGTATAGATTAAAACAATTGTTATGGAATCCAAAGAGCCTATATTTTGTCATAATTCTTTAGGTTATAGTTAGAAATACTAATAGCTTTTACTTGCAACCTATAAGAAGATGGGTTTTACTCTTTGATTACTTAATCCTTGAAAGTCGTTTCTCTGGTTACAACCCTCTCACTATCAAACAATCGAAAATTAAGGTATGATGAAATAACTTGCCTACTCAAATTTGACGTTATTTTATTAGAATTGTTATTTCAATTTATTGAGGATAAAGACTTATGTTAGGTTTTATTGTTTAGGTGTGTATGCCACAGGACCATGTTCCTCTGAAATGATTATGAAAATCTACTTGCTCTAATTGTACATATCTTGAAGTTTGAATCAATTATTTTTCTCTACAATGTCTAAAAATTCTGACACCGGATTGTATAATTTTCCTTTTATAATGTTATCAATATCTATTATTTTTATATAAATGTAAAAATTTGCAACTATATACGGGGTGTGGCACGCCCAAAATCTACGGATTAAATGGCGATTTTAAAGTTGATGATGGTTATTTTAAGTTCTGTGTCCGAAAAAAGAAACCGCGTTGTCTTGCTCGTCATTTTATATTATCGGTTCAGTGTGTTCATTTTACTCTCAATTAACTCTACAAACTTTAGATACTTTGATACTCATAGTCACTTGATGTAAGGATTTCAAATAAACATATTTTATAGTCTCTACGAGATTCAAACTATCCTAAATTCTTGAGAATATTGATCTCAAAAGCCATATTAAAGTAATGTGGCTTTTCTCAGTGTTCAAGTGAATAAATGATAGTAGACTAAATGGAGGACATATAACTAGCAGATGTAATGAGCAGATTAGTGCTTATAGTTGTAAATAAGGTTGCTTATTTCTACTCTACATAGTTCTAGCTAAAATGTATAATTATTTAGTTATGAAGCGACTATTTTATTATTACTATTAAAAAAGAACAATTAGGTCACCATGCAATGTTTAAAACCTTTGTCATACTTTTCTTGAAAGTTTAAATCAAAACCGACGTTCACGTGCATTGCACGTGCATTATTCCAGTTTAAAAAAAGCAGTGTAGGTTAGAGTGGAGGAGCAAATGTCGAGCGGAAAGCGTGGGCCGCCAAAGCACCAGAACAAGTTCGCATGGAAACCCAACTCCGGCGTCAAAATCAACGAAACGGTTAACAAGTTTTTAATTCGTTTTTCTTATTAATTTTGATTTAATTCAACGATTCATTGATCTTGATTTTCGTCTTGTTATTGATTTATTTGAGATTACAGGAAGTGGGAGGTAGATTTCGCCCTTTCTCGGAGATCACCGGAGTCTGCCCTCGCTGCAAAGATCAGATTGACTGGAAGAGAAAGTAAAATTTCCCTTTTTTTTCTAGGGTTTAGGGCTTATTACTTAGGGTTTATTCATCGAAGCAATATTGATGCGATTTTTTTGCATTAGATATGGGAAATACAAGTCTCTCGTGGAGCCGGCCAAATGGTTAGTAATCAATCTCAATTTATTCCCTTTTTCAATACGCGTATTATTTTCTTCTGAAATAAAATGAATTTTTCTTCTTCTAATTATAGTCAGAAATGTGGGAAAAGGGCAGTTCGTCAGGCCTACCACAATCTTTGCTCTGGTAAATTTATAACCAAATTTACCCTTTCTTTTAAATTAATTTTATGAGAAAAAGACGTTTTTTTTAAATTTATTTATTTTTAATCATGTTAAGGGTGTGCCAAGGAGCACAAAATATGTGCTAAATGCTGTTGCAGTGTCGAGAAGATTGTTGGAAGGTTCAATATTTCATCGGTTACTCTACTTTTCTTTTTGGTTGCTTTTTATTTGAATTAAGATAATTAGTGTCATTTTACATGGTGAGTTTTGGTTTCTATAGAGATAGCTCAGAGGTTGAGGCCGAGCGCAAGGAGCTTGAGGAGGTAAGGCCATATCGTCTCTTTTGTGTGTGTGCGTGCGCTTGTTGCTTTTCTCTGATGATTATGCCTTTATATTAAAAAGCAAGGCCTCTTGTAATTTTCTTGTAGGCCATTAAGAATGCCCGAGAAAGGGAGAGAAGGACACTTCTTCGAGCAGTAAGATTATGTCTTGGCACTTCATAATTATGCTTTTGGTTTTACAATTATTTATACTAGTTTATATAGGATATTTTTAGGAGACTTATTTTGCACGAAGTTAGGTTTAACTAAAACTCTGATTAAAGCATCTGCAAATAGCTTGTTTATCTGTTATTGATGAAGCTTCATCTTTAGATTCAAGTTACTTATAGTGTGGGAACAAAGTCATTTCTGGATTTAGGGACTGTTTAGATACAACTAAAGTTGCAATGGAACTGCAGTTACTGTATTTGTTGTCACATGCAAATGTAGTTGACTTGGTTCAATTTAGAGCTTTACGACTTACAACCGTAATTGTAGTTGCAAGTGTTTGTTTTGGGGTATCCCCCTTTTTTTACTTCTTCTGCTGGTTGCTTGCAATTGGAATTGTAATTTAAACTCTTTTGTTGCTTAACACGTTGCAATTGTGTCTTACACACAAATTAATTTAAGTCATGGAATCTAACTGAAGGTTTTTTTGCAACTGCATTATATGTCATATTGAAAAAGACGCCTACAACTACTCTAAAATGCCTAAGTTGCATGTAAATGTAGTCCCCTGCAACTATAGAAAGTAAAAACGAACAACCCCTTAGTAAATATGCTTCCTAATCCTTATTCTTTGATCATATCCTAACAGATTATATTGATTCTCATCTTGCCCGTGTTAACCTGGTAGTGCTTTACAATGGCTAGAAAAGTAAAATCCTTAGAATGAATAATACACTTTTTCTTCAAACTATTCAATATGTGAATGTTCCATCATTCCAGCCCATGAATCTGTCCAGAATAATCAAAATTAATGCAAAACGTTCTGAACTTGTTTGCTACACTTGCAATATTGCAGTTTGTTATGCAACTGATTCCCTTAAGCATTGCGAAAGAAAGCTATCACACTGCTCAACAGCCTAATTTGTAGAAAGGTAGCACACAAGTTCGGTTCTTTCAAGCACACGAGTCATGTGATATTTAACCTCACGTAGCCCGATGAACTCTCACTACTGTGTGAGAGATAGCTCTGTAGGCCTTGGCTTTTGAGCCATGTGAACTTTTCTTTTGCATGCAGTTATGTAGCCAGAGCATTGTTTTATCTCGTTGGAGACTCTGGCACATGTGCTGCAAGTCATGCATGGAACAGATTGTGCACATGCAAAGGCACATTCAAGTCCCCTATTTTTGAATATTTCGTGGCTGAATCCAGCCTTGTTCAGTATGTTCCTTGGAACTCGGACTGGGAAGTGGTTCCAAGGGCTAGCTTAGATAATTGTTCGTGCATGTGAAGCAGGATTGTTTGATTTGTAGAAAATTGCATGTGAAGCAGGATTGTTTGATTTGGAGAAAATTGCATGTGAAGCAGGATTGTTTGATTTGTAGAAAATTGCTACTGCACTTGTGACTTGCAAAAAAGGCAGTTGTAATTGCTCTTGTAGCTGTTTGTTATGCTACAGTTAAAATTATCTTTGCAACTATAGTTTAAAAAAATGAGATAATTTTTGCAAATTAACCTGCATTGAATTTGACCTTTCAGTTATGGATGCTTGTAGGAGAGCTATTAAATTCCTTGGATAACTGTGCCAAGGCACTCACCCTTAAGTTTGATAGTTATAAGAACCCAAACCAATCAACGTGTCAGCATCTTAAGATCATGATGAGGTATGATTTGAGAACTTTAGGGTGGTTGGTCATATACAATTGATGCAGAACATGTTGGTAGAAATAAAGAAACTATCAATGATAACCTAAATGCAACAAAAATCGCATAAATGCAATACAAGACAACCTGCACTAAACTAGGCATTATCCTATGAATGGTGAACCTATCTTTATGAGTGCTCTAATAGAATATATAGCCTAAAGATTGCTTTCTAAGAAAAGTTCAATACAATCTAGGATAAAATTAAAATTATACTAATGCTATGCAAGATATTCATCAATTCATAATATTGAAAAGTTTAGGACAAAATGATAAACTCCTCCTTAAACTATTGGTGAACTCTCAACTTACACAATAAAGTATCAATTTACTTGTTTCCTCTATAAACTATGTTTATGGGCCCATTGTAGGGCATGTTTCGCAACTTTGGATTATAATCCACAAATGGATTATAAGCAAGTGGATTATAAGACAAAGTGTTTAGTAAATTTAGTGAACTATAATCCATTTTCAATAGTAGAGTGTTTGGCAAATGGATGGCTTATAAGCCATTAGAAATAATCTAGAACAGCTCAACTTATTGTTTGGGGGCTTATAAGCCAAAATAAGCCGTTTGCCAAACATATCAAAGTGACTTATAAATCACAAAAGTGACTTATAAGCCACTTTGATCACTTGCCAAACATGCTCGTAGCGATTTTGTGACCCAACACAGATATTTAACAAATTGATGATGTGACAATGTTTTTTTGCATTTCTTCATGGGTATTTATCAGTCAATCTCCTTGTACATCAAACCAAAAATACTTGTACATCAAACCAAAAATAACCTTCCAACTACTTTCCCCCCAACCTTTTTCACACTCTATCCCCTTTTGGTTGGAAAATCATTTATGAATTGTAGGAACTTTAAAAAATGTATAAAAAACGCTGTCACGTCATCAATCATATAAATATTTGACTGCAAAGTGTAAACTAAGAAAATGACCATGTTGACATCATTTTTTTTTTACTTTTAAATTTCGAGATTAGATAGTGATTTAGGTAAACTTCTATCAACAGTTTAAGCTCTCAAATCCAAATATCTAATCACCTCATCCATTTGTTTAAAACCCAAGTCATTTGGTTGGAGCCTTATCTAATTACCGCATTATGATAAGAACAAAATTTTGGACAAAGATATCATCATTTGATTTAAAGAGTGATCTTATGTATAATCAAGTTTTCCTTTATAGGAGAACTCACAACTCTCCAGAGATATCTGGTGGAATCCCCTCAAAAAACAAAAGTAGATCTCTCTTTTCCCCTTGCTCGTTGGCCGTCGTCTTCCATCAGCCAAAATAAGAAGAAGAAAAAAAAAGGCAAACAGTTCTTGTCCTCGAGCATCTTTGCTATGTACAGCAACTCATCAAAATCAATTCCACGACATGGGAAACCAATCCAGTACCCTTTTTTTCTAAATTGTGTCATACAAAAAAATATATCTTTGTGGCAACAAAAAAGACCATGTTCTTCTCTGGCTAAAAGTGTAATACCATCAATAATAAACATTTTAAAAAAATAGAATATAACAAAATACCTCCAACCTAAGGTCCTCGGGACTGGGAGACAGTAAAAAAAGGGCTCCGACCTATGGTCCTTGCCACCGACAGATAGCCAAAAAACGGCTCCGTCCTATGGTCCTCGCGACCTGCAGGATGTCAGAAAATGGCTCCAACCTACGGTCCTCGCATTCGGTGGACAGTAAAAAACGGCTGTAACCTACGACCCTCGTACCCAACAGGCAATTAGGAAACAACTCCAACCTACGGTCCTCGCTATCGACAGACAGTAAAAAAACGGCTCTAACCTATGGCTACAGACCTTACGATCGGTAAGTAGTTAGAAAAACAGCTCCGATCTAGGGTCCTCATGGCCGGTAAGCAGTCAGAAAATAGCTTCGTCCTACGATTCTCATGACTGGTAGGTAGTAAAAAAAATGGCTCTGAACTACCATTCACGATTGGCAGCCAGTCCAAATTTACGGCTTTTGCAATCGACATACGAGAAGCGGTTATGCATAAAAAATCAAGGGAAAATTAGCGAACAAGTAAACATCTCTGGAAATTGCAGAAGAGCCCAAGCAACTCTGAAAATTGCAGATTTGCAAAATTCTGTTGGTAAAAAACTGCTGAAATGGCAAAAATGCCCAGAAAATTGCAGAAATTGGAAATCTGCCCAAAAACTGCAGAAATTGCTAGTCTGCCTAGAACACTGTAGAAATACAAATCTGCCCAGAATTTGCAGAAAGTCCCCTGGATGTCCAGAAATTCTGATGTCTAGAATTTGCAAATCTGCTCAAAAATTGCAGAAAGCGCCCTGAACTGTCAAGAAATCGCAAAACCCCCGTGAACTGTACAGAAATTGCAGAATAGACGCTGAAGTGTCCACATATTGCGATTCTGCTCAGGAAGTTGTAGAATTTGCTAATCTTTCCAGAAGATGATAGAATTTGCAGATCTATCCAGAACATTACATAATGTCCATATCAGTCTAGAAAATTTGCAGAATTCAGCGACTAAAACATCGGTAAACTACATTCAGTGACCGGAATGCCAATAAACTAAATCCAAATGTTGGTTACATGAAAGATGTTTGTTTACATGAAAGATGTTTGTTGCCTTTTCTATTCTCTTATGGGTATTGAGTATATGCCTTGAGCCTAATGAATGAATTGATACCTAACAAATTTGTGATATTATACCTATTTACCAAAAAATTATCACTGGAACTTTATTACTTGTAGTCATAGGATTTCTTTTGAAAATTTCTGTAGATCATTTAACTGCATATGTTTGCTGATGTTTTCTTGTATAGCAAATACCTGCTGTTATTTCTCCATTCGTAATTTTATACCTGTTTGCTGACAGATGAATGGCAAAAAAACTGGTACGACTGCCCCAAAAATTGCGGATAGAAGCAGAGAGGGAGATATTTTCTCTGCTAACTCCATCGAAGAATGTGCTGAAACTACTAAACAAAGCAATGGGGATGAGGAGGATGATGATTTTCTTTGTAAATGAGAAGGGAAACACAAGAGACTTGATGAAACTGCTAAGCGATAATGATGAGTATTTTTTTATTTTATGCTGCTAATGTTACTGTTTGGTGGATTATTTGAGATGTTATTTTTTTCAATCCAATCAGGACTTTCTGGGATGTGTTTCTGTTTTAAGGTTGAACTTGGCTCGTTTTTGAAAGAGTTTTTGTTTGGCAAACAACAAGAAGGCCAAATATTGCTCTGTTTTCATAGGTCAAAATATGACATTAAACCAGTTTTCTTATGGACCAGGTGGGCTGGTACGAAAGAAAACTGGTTTAGCACAGAACTGGGTTAGGACTAGTTTTGACCTAATTTTGTGTAGTTTGCCAAACACACCCTAAAGGTTTGAAGCGTGCTACTTCTTTGGTGATGCAATTGCTAGTTTTAAAACGTAGATGGAGTTATGGTAACGGTGATAACATTTTGCCCAGATCAATCCAATCAAATATTCCATGGTATCCTTACGTTTGTTAGTTTGACGTCACCTGGCGCTTGGATATGATTGTATTTTGTTGTTATCTTTGGCGATCGGATACGGTTGCATTTTTGTATAGCCTCTGCTGGTATCACTTCTTATATAACAGTAACGGGGATTGAGCTGGTCCTGTAAATTGAATGGCACAGAAAATGTTAAGCAGAATTATTCATGGGGTTCCCTAGTCCATGAGAACACCTTGTTAAGGAATTAACCTAGAAAGTGAGTTAAATTCTCCTTGAAGAACAAAGCAACCCAAAACAAACTCTAGTAAGATCTCCCGGCACTTTCCGGCATCGAGAGCATATGAAATTGTATCAGTTGTTGATAATCTACGGCTAGCCAGGATGAGAAAATGGACCATCGCTACTCAGCATATCAGAAAGTGAGAGTGACTTACCTACCTCTTTGTTTGGTTCGTCAATAGACAGAATGATTTCTTTTGTTCCGCTCGCAATACATGTACGGGTTTAGCTGAACGGTTGTAGGTTTAGCTGCAGGCACAAAGGATGGCGAAAACGCTCATCTTTTGCTTTAGTGGGCGGGCGCGCGCACGTGTCCTATAAACCCAGCTTAGCTCCTTTTAACCCTAGCAATAAAACTAAACCCAACCCCACCCACCTTACTTTTGGCGCCAGCGTCCGACCGAGGGCAGTCGTGAAAGGTGACGGTCCTCGGACTTCCTCAAACAAAAGAAAGAAATAATGGTAATAAGACAAGGCTTCAGGCCACGACAAATGGCGGGTGTGAGATTTCGATCTTTTCATTAATTTAGTCCCTCGCTGTTTGTTTGTTAGAGATAAAACTCGGTTCAAAGTAGTTTTTATCTCAGTCTTAGTATTGAGGACTTATGATATTTGGGCTCTTAGATTCTTCCACTTCTACAAGAATCCTCGTTCTTGTTTACTTTCCCTTCACTTTCTATTTGCAAACTTAGTTGTTGACTAGGAAGCAAAAATGTGAAAAGTAGAATTTTTTTAAGCACGATACCTAATAAAACATAAATGGTACATCAACACATGTACGTTATGTACAAGCATGCTGCTTTCTGTGTTATAATACTTGATGATCTGCTATACAACAATAGCTTTTATACGGTTTTCAGTACTAGAATTTACATGAACGTACAGTCGGGAGCATTAACGAGATAAAAAAAACAAAAAAGAAAAAAACAAAATATTTTACAGGTTGTGTGGGTGGGAAGGCTCTCACGTGCAGTCGGGAGCATTAACGAGATAAAAAAAACAAAAAAGAAAATTTCAAAGTGAAAAGATATAAAAAGGAAAAATAATAAATTATTTTTTTCCTCTCTCCTTTCTCATCATCAATTTTTTCAATTATTTTATGGATGCCAAATACGCTTAAGAGGACCCAAAAATAGGACAGTTTTAGTGGACAGGTGAACGTGCCAGGTCCAATTGTAAAATATTAATGAGCTAGGTCATTAATCTATCATATCTTCCGACTAATCACTAGCAAAACTAAATGGGGAAATTGCTTCCAGCCCCCAATTTCCTAATAACTATTCCACCCCCTCCTAAGATTTTTTCAACGCTCTCAAAATCTCCAAAAGTAAACTCATTATTCCCTGAGCCCCCAAAACACAAAACCCAAGAGTTTTAAACATGTGAAGACTATAATACCATTTCTCTTATTCTTTTTTTGTTGGATTTAATCTAATAAATCTATTTGTGGGCACATATGATTAATCATTGTGTATTGCTATCTTTCAGGATAACCCACTAAAGTGATCAATTAAGTTGGGTTAATTTGGTATTTAAATAAGTCATGGGGTTATATGTGCAGATACCAGGTTGTAATTGTGATTTATTGAGGGGCTAAATTACAAAAGTACAACATCTATAAATAAGGGGTTATGGTCCCTAACCTAGGGTTACATTCTCTAATTCTCTACACCCCCATCTAGCTAGAGAAATTCGGATTTAGAGAAACCCTAAGGTTAGAAGATCATCAAAAACCCAAATCAAGATTTCATCCATGGATTCAGGTATAAGCTTCCGCTCTTTTGATTATTTGTTAATCTCTTTGAATTAATCATGGCTATATGGTTTTAGATCTCAAGTTTTATGATGTAGATCTAACAAGTGGTATCAGAGCCACCTTGATTAATTCTTAGGGATTTAAGTTTTATTGGGTTTTTGATCTTAAATCTCTGGTTAAAGATTCAAATTTTTTTTTTGGTTCGGATGAACAGTAAATTTTTTTGGGTTCGGATGAACAGTAAATTTTTTTGGGTTCGGATGAACAGTAGCGAAAAGTTTTTCGGATGAACAGTAACTGAAAAATCGCCGGTAAACAGTAACTTTTTGGAATTTTTTGGATTTTTCTTTGCTTTTTTCTTCAATTTTTTCCAATTCTGGATCTTTTTTGAAAATAAAAATCAAAGGTTTTTTTTGGGTTTGTCGGCGGCGGTTTCAGTTTGAAACCCTAAGGGTTCATGGCGAAAATTAAGGAGGTGGTTACCTCAAACGAACCTCGCGTTCGTTCAATTTTAACCGAGCTTCGCGCTCAACGAACCTCGCGTTCGTTCTAAGGTGAACCTCGCGTTCAACTCAGGTGAGCGTCAAGCTCAATTTTAACGAACCTCGCGTTCGTTCTAAAGTGAACCTCGCGTTCAACTCAGGTGAGCGTCAAGCTCAATTTTGACGAACCTCGCGTTCGTGCTTCAGTCGAGCCTCGCGTTCGAGCTTCAGACGAACCTCGCGTTCGTGCTTCAGTCGAGCCTCGCGTTCGAACTTCAGACGAACCTCGCGTTCGTACTTCAGTCGAGCCTCGCGTTCGAGCTTCAGACGAACCTCGCGTTTGTGCTTCAGTTGAACCTCGCGTTCGAACTTCAGTTGAACCTCGCGTTCATTTTTTAACGAACCTCGCGTTCGTTCTTCAGTCGAACCTCGCGTTCGAACTTCAGTTGAACCTCGCGTTCATCCTTTTTAACGAACCTCGCGTTCGTTCCCAAGTTGAACCTCGCGTTCTTTTATCAAACGAACCTCGCGTTCGTTCATTTTCAGACGAACCTCGCGTTCGTGCTTAAGTGAGTCTCGTATTCAATACAGTCGAACCTCGCGTTCAAAGTTAAGGGAACTTTGTGTTCATTATGGTTAAGCCTCGGCTTTTCATGGGTCCACTTTGGTATACTTAATTTATTCAATTAAGTTATGGGCCCTAATTAAGCTGTGAGACCCCAATCAAGTTTTTGGAAATTCAGTTGATTTAAATTAAATTTTTTTTAATTTAAATCTAATTTATTTAATTCAAATATTATGACACTAAGGTATTAAGGTTGTCTCTCACTCCAATTGATTAATTGAAACAAGAAGTTGCCAAAGTAACCTCTCTTGTGTAGATTGTCACTGAGGAATGTGAGATGTTTGTGTGTATGCTTTCGTGTAAATATTTAATCGGCCCAAAGGAAGGTTAATATTTATTTAGACTGTATACACATCTGCGATGATAAGCGTGTGACAATTATAAGGTTTACATGTGAATAATGAATCGATCCAAAGATAGTTTCATTATTTGACATGAGTTATTGTCAATGTTTGATCATTGCAACAAGGTATCACTTACAAGTTAATATTACTGTCCAAAGACTTGATATTAATGTTGTGCCGGTATCTTGGATGGGGATTGTAATTATTTAAATTTTATTGATTATGGTTATTGATGTGAGCATTTTTTATTTTATTTCAGCTAATGCATCTGCTGCAACAATTTCTGCTAACATCAACTCAATTCCCATGCTAAATGGGACAAACTTCAAGGTTTGGAAAGAGAACATATTAATTGTTCTTGGCTGCATGGATCTTGACTATGCATTAAGAACTGAACAACCCCAACCTCTCAATGCGGATAGCACTCCTGATGCAAAGAAGGAGCATGAGAAGTGGGAGCGTTCAAATCGCATGAGTCTTATGATCATTAAGCGCGGCGTTCCGGAAGCCTTCAGGGGCATAGAATCCGAAGGGATTACTAAGGCTAAAGATTTCCTTGCCGAAATTGAGAAGCGTTTTGCGAAAAACGATAAGGTAGAAACAAGCACGCTTTTAGCTCGCTTGATTTCAATGAAGTATAAGGGCAAAGGAAATATCAGGGAGTACATTATGGAAATGTCTCATATTGCTTCAAAGCTTAAGGCACTTAAACTCGATCTTTGTGACGAGTTATTAGTGCATCTGGTTTTGTTGTCTCTTCCTGCACAGTTTAACCAATTTAAGGTCAGTTATAACTGTCAAAAGGAGAAATGGACTCTAAATGAGCTCATTTCATACTGTGTGCAAGAAGAAGACAGGTTGAAGCAAGATAAGACAGAAAGTGCTCATTTGGCCTATGCCTCTAAGGATAAGGGCAAGAAAAGGAAGAATGATAAGGAAGCTGCTAAGGGTCCAGTTGAGAAGAAACAACATAAGGATAATCAGGGTTGTTTCTTCTGTAAGAAGCCTGGACATGTAAAGAAGGACTGTACAAAATATCACGCCTGGCGTGATAATAAGGGTACGTTCCTTGCTTTGGTCTGTTCTGAGGTTAATTTAGCTTCAGTACCTAGAAACACTTGGTGGTTAGACTCTGGTGCTACTACTCACATAAGTGTTTCTATGCAGGGTTGCCTGAGCTACCGAAAGC